CCATCAATACAAATTTTTTATTTGAATTATTTTATCAGGGTATTAAATTATTTTCTTCCCTATTCTATATATATCAGACCTATACTATATACTCGTATATATATCAGATATTTCTTTTAAATTAATTCAATAATTGTCTATATTCATGTCTAGGAATACTAATACGACGTTAGTTATACATAAATACTTTATGTATAACGTCGTAAAATTAAAATAGTATCTATGAACGTGCAAATTCACCAGCGGGTGTACACGAGGGAGTGTATGTTTATATGTTTATTTTAATACGCGTGTCGCGCGTATAGTACAGAATTTATTACGACCCTCGGGTGGATTAATGCGATACGGAAAATTTGAATTCAGAGCATTAGTTCGGATTGGTAGCTTTGAGAGGAGGCGGTAAATAAGCAGCCGACCTATGATAATGATTAATTCATAATTTAACAACGCCAATATTTTATAGAAAATCCATATGGATGAACGTATGAATATATTGAAAATTAGATAATAATATTATATCTAAAAATATGTAATAATATAACTAACCTAGTCTCTAAGAATTATTGTTTACTAACCATAATGAGTCACTGGTCACTTGAATAAAGATTATTATTATTATTATCAGATTTGTTCTTTTTCTCAGCTTTTGGCTGGTTTTAACTACATTACGGGCCAAAGCCAAGTAAATGTAGCGTGTGGTGTGGTGAGTGCCTGTTTAAAATATAATTGTATTTTCTTCTTCTAACTGCATGAACTTACGCACTATTCTGCATGTGTTTAAAATGGCAGCTTTCTGCAGACTTATATAGACGGTTTATTATTATTATTATTATATCTATAATTGTTGCCGTAGTTTCAGTACTCAAACTCCATTTGGCCTCAAAGAGTCTTTTGATCACATTAAGAAATAGGACCGTTTGGCAACAAAGAATATTTCGAGTTGATGATTCGTTTTTCCATACAAAATATATGGGAAAAGTCATTTTATTGTCATTTTTAGTACTCATACCTTAACCCTTTTGATTCCTACATAAAATAGAATCGATTGACATAATTTTTTTTAAGTATTTTAACATTTTTCTTTCGCTAACTGTAATTTTTTTCCAAAACCTATGATGAATGCAGTTCAGAATATCTCAAAAAGTTACGGATGGTCTCCTATGAATGTTTTCCTGTAACTATAGCAGTTAAGGTACCTACCCTTACTGTCCCGTCTCAAAAAGCCAACCTGTATATGTAGGTAATATAAATAATTATTTAGGAATGTATCTGGAAAATGCTTGCGACATAGATATTGATAGCTCATGTAAGTGAGCCTATTGTTTGCCTCAGATCTTATTTAAGGATCGAGAACCACGGATGCGCCATGATTTATGACCACTAATAACAAGAAAAACTGGCTATAATCTATTTTCTCTCGTATACAAATCGGTTGAACAGAAAACCATAAAACACCACACACAAAGAATCTTTATGTAAACATAACATACATTAAAAAGCGTTATATCTGTTGTTTTTAGTCATTTCAAAAGCCATTAATCAGAACAACTGTTTGTATTGCATTGAGGCAGCCGGTAACTATAGTTCGATTATACGAAGTAGCAAGTAATATAAATTATACACGCACAACGTCCAAACTTTTAAAAGTTCAAAAAAGACAATTAGAAGACGGTTCGTAATTTTGTTTCAAAGGAACAAATTAAATTAACATGGCTTATTTTCCCGCTTGATCCAAGAGAGACAAATAGTCTAAGTAAAATTTATGTATCGGAATCAAATTCAATTTCGCCTTTGCATTTTTTACTCGATTTTTTAGAGCCGTATAACTTTAACGTCTGGACGTAAGGAGTATTATGGATATACCAGTACTACAAACACTTAAAAAATATTTTGTTCGTTACATCAAATTTGCATAATCTAATATATTTAAACGAGCAATTCTTGTATATTTATTTATTTATACCGGCGATCTCGGAAACGGCTCTAACGATTTCGCTGAAATTCGGCATGTGGGGGTTCGGGGGCGAAGAAGCGATCTAGATTAGTCTTATGTCTGGGAAAACGCGTATTTTCGAGTTTTTATGTGGTTTTCTTTCGCATTATTCCACGCAAAATATATAAAATATAATTTCACACATACGTATCACGATGCATAAGCATCGTGGTCAAGCGGTTAAGACACATGATTGACGATCACAGGTGTCTTGGTTCGAACGAAGCCCGGTCGGATGCAAAGTTTTCACTTTGTTTTTTTTAAAGAAAATTGTACTTTCGGACCAAAACTCCAAGCGAAGCTCGGTCACCCAGGTACTATTTTCCTAAATCATCGCGTAACTCTTATTTTAACAAAATACTTTTAATATTAAAAAAAATAAGTATATGTTTCCTTTTTTATATTATAAATATGTATTTTTAAAACGTTTCCAATAATTTTTTTTATTATTTATTTATTTATTTTTTATTATTATTTAAGTAACTATAAGAAAAACGTAGTTCATCATAACATCATCCTTTATATAGGTTCTCAGTAATACTCGTATTTAATGTACATCGTATAAGCTTATAGAGTAAAACAACCGCTGCGTCTTAATACTTTTTCAGTCTTGTGAATTTGTTGTCGCATAGGATTTTTCTAATCTTCTTTAGCATCGTTTATATTGATTATAGCGCTCTTGCCTTATTTATATTCAGTTGGAGTTTTTTCATCACACCCTGTGCTTAATATCGCAATTTGTGTCGTAGTTGGCGTAAACTGTGGGGACCTGTCACCTTCCTTTTAGACAGTCTTTCTCAGGAATCTTTCTTTTATTACAAGTCGTAAACAAAAACAACCAAATAAGCCTAATCTTTCTCTATATAAATTTTGGTATTACAATCAACACCAGGTAGGTAACTAAGTTCGATTTGTTTTACTCAGATTTCATTTGTGAAACAATTCATGTATTATGTACAACCTGATATATATAAAATAAAACAATGTACAGTGTGGTAAGTCAGGGACAGTTGCCTATAGTTTAAAAAAAGATCAATATCAATTATATATGTAAGATACTGCATAAAATACGCATAGTTTATTTTAATTTAATGTTCATTTATGCCATTCAGAGTAAATTTGGAACTATTGTGCAGAGTATATTTTAGATCAAAAAAATGTTTTTTAAAAATAATAGAAAATACGCATCACACACACATGTGGATTAGTTGCCTATAGATGTCAGGGATAGATGCCCACGAGTAATTAGTGCATAATTAGACGTTATACTTTAGACATTCCGCTGAATCTTCACTATAGTCTTCATAAAACCACAATGAACCGTTTCTTCTTAGTACCACGCTGGCCAAGTGCGGGTTGGCGGACTTCACATGTCTTTCGAAAACTTGGTTCTCTCAGTCATGGAGGTTTCCTTCCGATGTTTTCCTTCACTGTAAGACACATGGTAATCATGTTAGAAAATATGACTCGCACATGAAAATATCAGAGGTGCTCCGAAATATCATTGGGCATCTCAACCTATCATTAGAGAGAGATGCCTATTGACTCTGAACACACCCTAAAGCATTTACAATACAAAATGGTGGATTGTTAACAAAACAAAAACACAGCGTTGGATTATGAAACAATTTAATACCATTTAACTGAAGAATTTAGGAAAACCAATTACTGCCAACTATCTTAAGATGATATTCTAACATATATATTAACTACACTTATCTTAGTTTACAAATTTACACCAAAATATTAATTAAAAGTAATATATTTTTTGTAAAAACTTCCACACTGACATTTACTTTCGACTGACGTATTATGGATGCGTTCCTGATCACGCAAAATTTTAAATTTTAATTTCTAAATTTAGTAGGCATCTCTCCCTTATGCGTCTCTCCTGGACTTACGCTATATTCTCATTTGCACTTTTAAATATTAGGCCTTAAATTCTCTAATCGGATTTGAAACCGCTTAAAAACTATGGCGCCACAGATCAATTAGTTCCAAGTAATAAACAAAGCAAATATGTCCGTTATGAAAAGAATTCGGCTGCCTGGAGACTTCTTTTGATACATCAATCAAAATCATACACATAATGAAATCATCATTTGGGTGGCCATAGAGTGGATGGTTCCGAGAATTTCAGCCCGATGTGCACCGCCATTATCACATTCCTGATTTATTAATTAGAACTTAGATAGTTCCAGATCAGAAACGATGGCGAGCGAATTTTAGAACAGGTCGGGAATTCATTTTATATTTAAACGTATAGTACCTAAACTCAAGGCTGCTAACGCTTATTATTCTGTGTTAAGCACTCGCAAACTTCATCTATGCAAGTTTTCTAAGTACTTAGTTCATTGATAACCATACCACAATCAAGTTTTATTGTAATAGACTCATAAAAAGTATAATGAAGTATGTTTATTGGTTTACTTGTGAACACATTTAATTAAATTCATGTTTTACGAGTTTTAGGCAATAATACAATGAAGTATTTCGTGTTGGCCTGGATATGTGTAAAGATAAGTTCTCTCAATGGTTTGTATCAATAATAAATAAGTGAATATTATTATAGTTCCATGTTATTCGTTATATCTATCGCCAAATTCAAAAAAAAAATGTTAAAAAACGTTTGTGTGCTAAAGGCTATTATACATTGAATGATTTTATAAAAGATGGCACACCTTGGGAATGAAATGATCGCCTCCAGGCTACTTCAACTTGATAGAAATACTGTAAATTATAATTTAACTTTATAAAAAAAAGATAATGAAATAATATTAGTCCCGCTGAGTTTCTTTCGATAGTTCTTCTCAGGTCTGAGGCTTATTCTTTCCGAACTGGTAGTAGACTCATGACGTTCAGTAAAAAATTGTAATAATTTAATGCTAAATAAAATATTTTGAATTTTGAATTTTATTAATATTCCTAAATAGTTTTAGAATACAGAAGACATTATGGGCTAAGCTTTCACAGTCAATGCGACGATTATGTGAAGACGTTTAAATGTATGACAGCGTGTAAAAGTATCGGTTACCAAGTGTTCAGATTAAATACTTCATGCAAGTGTAGTTGTCATGAAATCAAAACAAGTACCGAGTTACCATATTTTAAATGGAAAACTAATGGGACTACAATGCAGATACCAAAGACATTTAGCCCTAAGGTTTATCATGTAGTGGGGACATTGTCACCGGCTACCATAATTGGTATCACTGACAATGATAATGTGGATATTGAATGCTCTCCGAAAAAAGAAAGTACGTCGACAAGTAATCATCAAACCACAACAGAAAATTTAACAGTCAATAAAGACAGCAAAAATCAAAGTGCAAATCTGAATACTACCGATGACGGAGCTAAAATAACTATAAAATAATTTTTATAGTTTATTTGAAATAAAATTAATTACTTTTAATTTATTTATTTTTATCACCTTGATCAGAATATCACCTACATTAGTAAATAGTTTATATCCACAACTGCGTTGTGTATTGTGCACCTTTTTCAATGTTTTTTAGAATTTGGTTAATGCATATTTTATAGTTTTTTTTGGTATATCATTAGCATAATAGATAGCTATTTATACATAATATAATATAAATATGATGTCAAAAGGGATAATTACTTATTTCTTTAATTATATTTTAAGTTTTGCTCATAATATTTGGGTGTAGCCAGCCGTACAGGATGCAAAAAATGAGCAAAATTTTAGTGTATTGACACTGCAATATGTCTCCCCTATTAGAACGATTTTTACAATCGGTAAAGTAATAATTTTCCATTAATAGTATATATTTTTTTAAAGGCAGTGGTAGCCCAGTGGTAACGCGCTCCCTTGGGAAACCGAGTGAAGCGTGTTCATATCCCGGGTCTCGCACCTCTGCTATTTTCATGTGCAAATCATTTCTAACATGATTACCACTTGCCTTACGGTGAAGGAAAACATCGTAAGGAAACTTGCATGTCTGAGAGAACCTAGCAAGTTGTCGAAAGACATGAGGAGTCCGCCAACCCGAACTTGGCCAGCGTGGTGCACTATGGCCTGATCCCCCTCGTATTGAAGGGAGGCCCGTGCCCAGCAGTGGGACGTTAAAAAGGGCTGAATACAATTATTTTTTTATTCATAAAATATAATTTATTTAGGTGTATTCACATCCATATATCGTAAAATATTTTATTGTGCTATAACCAATTCCATATAATGTTATTATTGATTTAATAGTGTATAGCGAATTATTTTTCAGTAAGTAATCTGTCTTAATTACAGATGAATTCCTCCACTCTAATATAATAATGGATACAATAGCAAGAATACTTTGTATTCTATTAAATATTTGTTTAACTAAAAATGAAAATTTCCCATTAAAAGTAGGTAAGTTCAAGTTTAAAAATAACAGATATGTGTGGTAATCAAGTCAAGCCTGCCATATCCGGAAAATAGACAATCTTTTTACAAAATACGTCTTTTATACCTTGCCTTTTAGAGTATACATATAGCATATGTATACTCTAAGTGATAATTACATTTATTCTATTCTCATACTAGAAATAATTCATAATATTACTAACAGAGAGATAATTATACCTATTTATTTTTATTTATTTATTAATTTTAAGGCTCTTAATAATACATGTTTGTTTTAGTTTTTCCACCGTCAGAGTTATCAGGTAGCCGCATACCTACTAGTAACAGTAAGTTTTCTAAAGTTGTGTTAATGTTATATCAAGTACCAAAAATCATTGACTTTTTATTTGTCACAGAGGGCGGGATACATAGATCCCAATGACACTTTATGAAAAAGTTCCACTTTAATAAGAAACTAGCATTTCCCGCGGCTCCGCCCGCGTTCAGATGACCAAAAACCAAATTCAGGTTTTACATATTAGTATACTCTTACATTGCGGATTTTTGTATTTTTTCTCAGAAATGAGACATTTTCCCGCGGTAAAAGTATATGTTGACCCGGATAACCAGCTATCACCATACCAAATTTCATCAAAATCCCTCCAGTGGTTTTTCTGTGATGCGGTAACAGACAGACAGACATACAAAAATTCTAAATCCTATAGATTCGGCCTCTGTATCGATAATAAACATACTATATACCTACTAGTAACAGTAAAATGAAAATAAATAATAATGATAACATAACATTTTTTGCAACTTATATTTCACAGGTTCACTGAAATTAGCTTTGCGGTATGGATTTCATCAGACATCAGAGTGTAAAGTGTTTGAAAAAGCTTTTCTTTGTATGCAAAAGTGCATAGTATTAAATTACGATGTCGCATTTTCAGATAAATATTGTTTTTGCACTTGTTATGTTAACAAAGATAAGGCTAGATATTTCGATAAATTAAGTAATAATTCAACTAAATGGAAATACGGTGTTCCAACGACTTCAAAACCTGCATGGGCACAAAAATATTTAAAATTATCTGAGACTACAACAAGTGATAGTGCCGATCAAGAAATGGAAACAAATACTTCGTCTGTTTTTAATTTTACAGAAACAATTGTAGGTAATGACATTTTTATTTCAAGTACAGCGACTCCAAATAATTCAAGCGATGTTTTTACAAATGAAACTTTGTCTGATAATGGTAATACAACCAGGGCTGAAAGCCTGACTACAGGTAGTGATGTAGATAATACTAATTCAAGCAATGTCACTGTTAGTGCATAGTGATATAATTAACTCAAGTTACAAAATAAAAAAAATATACTTTAATCTAATTGTATTTTCTGTCTCTTTCTGTTTTTTGATCAAGAGTAATATATTATACTAGGACAGACAGATCATCCCACACAAAAATATAGAAGGCTCTCTCCTTGTCCACCTGTTTATCGTGTATACTAAAGTTCATGAAAATCGTTGAAGCCGTTTTCGAGATTCAAATTATATACTGATATATATATATATATATATATATATAGTACCTGGGCCACCGAGATGACACCCGTGATTGCTGATCTTGCACCTTGGCCGCTTGACCACGATGCTTATGCCTGAGCGTGCAAATTACCGACGATATTTTGCGTGGAATAATGCACAAGACAACTGCATGAAAACTCTAAAACACGCGTTTTCTCAGACATAAGACTAATCTAGATCGATTTATCGCCCCCAAAATCCCCTGTATACTAAATGTCATGAAAATCGTTGGAGCCTTGTATATATATATATATATAAAGATATAAGATAGTGTATTTGATTTCTCAAAACAAAACTGATAATTTCAACGATCTCTTAGTAATATTTCATTTCGTTTTAATTAATTACGTCATGAATATAACATTTTTGTTAAAGTGTATGTTATACATACGCTCGAGTCGTGCTCGGAATACCTACGACGACTTACGATATAATTATCAATACATCCTGCTTAACGGCAACATTAAGGAAATAACTCCTGCCTTTCGTAAAATATTGATATTGGTTTACACAGAAATTATAGGACGTTTTTTTCACATATTAGCCCTGATGAGAACGAGGAATGATAACTATAAGATATAAGTATGGTGTTGTACATCTGTGGAATCATGACTCTCAAACTCATGTTTCCTTTTTATGAAAATCTGATTCAATCATTTTTTGAGGCTAACTAAACGTAATCCGGATCTGATGTTTATTCTGCGATCTATGAATATAATCTATGGACTATAATTAATTTGATATAGGTATAAGTTAATATTGTACTTATACGTATATATCTACCTTTAATCGGAATGGATAGGGATATTAGCGAACAATGGCGTAACATATTACAAATAAAACATTTACCTAATTTCTTTTATAAACTCAATTTTAATTGACCAACGGTAGGAATAGTAATATATTTTTTAAATTAAATAGTAATAAGAGATAATATCTACAGATTTCTGCAATTTATTTAGTCCTTTACCACTAAGAATGATCTCTGTTTTACATGGGGACCTGAAGAACGGGGAGCATACGCTGTAACTTTGAATCTACTCGAAACCAACGAAAATAAAAGCTTAAAAATGAATTTAATAAAGATTAAATACAAAATTTTGACTTTTATTTCTATTTCATTTACACAAGTTACATGAAATATAAATTATATACTTAGTTTCCATGAATATTTTTACCATATTTTTTTGCTTATTCAATCTGAGCCACTTGTAGTCGAAACTTTTTATCAATACCCAAGTGGCGTAATGTGAGAGTGACGGCTATGACGTATCACTAAGATTTTTACCAATACACCGAGAACATAAATATGCTTTTATATCAATATATCAATTTCTTTTGTCAAGTTCGACATTTGAGGCAAAACTGTTTTACTATAAACATTTTTATGATGTGCATTATAAAAAAAATATTTACCTAAATTTATGGTTAGTACCTATATTAAATTGGTATTTAAAATTTGATTAAGAATTTTATCAAATCAATATTGGTCTATTATATCGAATCCTAGTACAATTATATATGAGTAAATTTGACTGTCTCGCTGTCTAACAAACAAAAAATGGGAGTTGAGTATCAAAAACTAGTAACGAAGTGCTTCCACTGTAAAAATGACATGTATTTCCAAAATATGCAGAAAAAGCTTTGCTTAATTAAAATAACAACCAAACATAAAGTCATTTTGAAATATCGTTTTATTTAGTAAATTAAACAAGATCTGTGTGAAAACGTAGACCTATTTTTGATGATAAAAAATATTAGGAATGTCAAAATAAGCAATGAATAAAATTTTTGTATAAAGCCAAATTTTCGGTATTGAGCCATACGTCGCTTTTCATAGTTTTGGCCTTTTATCACGAGGAACAGAAGTTATAAATCTTATGATGACCCTTCTTTATGGCAACTGTGATACACGCAGTAGGTCAGCCGGGACGGGTATGGACGCAATAAAATTTCGATTGTCGATATTTATTAAAGATTGACCCTCGTTTTTCTATAATATTTATAGATGTTAAGTGTTATTTATTCCTTTGATCAGCAGATGTATGTATAAAGTGATCAACCTAATTTATCTTTTATTATTTGATGCTTTTTTAGAAGAATATACTGTTTATAGGTTTATTACATTGATATTTTTTAGATATATGGTATCATTTAAATCAAGTAAACTATCTCGGGTAAATGTATTGTCTAAAAGATAAAATGTCAGAGTGCGGGTTCTATGCTAAGTAATATTGATGTATAAGATAATTGAAAAGTGGAGACAGTAGTGGAAAGTGGCATTTTAATGAACTTACTAGATTTTGCTAATAACACAAGTTGTCGTTGTGTCGCACCCTTGTTAAAACAAAATGGTTATACAGGTCGTTTCAAAATTATAAATAAGTTTATATACATATATAAAATTGGGAATTCAATAGTATTCTTTGATGAAAGATTCATTCATAGCTAATGAAACGCTCGCCTTCTTTTATCTGTCTGTACACAATCAAGGGCGAAACAAGAGGAAAGCAAACAATAAATCCTCCTACATAAAAATTGCAACAACTTTGTTCATAATACCGATAGAGGCATCATCAAAAGTTGGTTCGGTTCGCACCCTCGCGCCCATTCGTGCAGAGATTACCAATAAATCCAATACGGGATAATTGGCCCGCTTAAGTCTGTTCTATCTTTCTACTTAGTTCAGTCGTCAGAATGCCAGCTCAGGCCCCTTGGGAGAGTCCAGTTCAGTTACAAACACCAATTATTGCCAAACAAAAATCACCCCTTGACCTTTATATTAGGAATTACTTTTAGCTGCTTAAATGTAAGAAAGCAAAACAGATAGTTAATGAAGAAAATAAAGCAGTGCTAAATGAGATATTATTATTCTCTAGTTAACTCTTATATTTTTGAAAACTATCTTTTTAGAATTAACAGCAAAAATAGTTTTTAGAAGAATTCTGTCTCTTAGTAAAAGATTTCCTTTTTTAAATATTTCCAATGTTTCTGAATATTTATTTCTTTTGATACATACAAGTAGGTATAATCCTATATCTGAATTTGAATATTTGGTTGTATTTCAAACTTAAAACCCCTATCATAAGTATTGACAGTAGATGTACGTAGCATGATGGACATAGGTGTCGTTTTTCCCTCTCGTCTAATGGATGAGTATTATTTAGTTCGAGGGTGGCAGCGATTTGATATTCGCATCAGACGGCCCTCGGGACCGCTGTGACATGATTCTGTAGCAAACTACTAGCTTTTTATAAGTTGGATATGGGAATGTGCTTTGATAAATCGATCATGCGCCTTTTATAATGGCCACCGTAAAAGTGAAATAGGGAACTACCCTTGCTGAAATCGCGGGGTTTTTTATGCTTTACCGAAAATGTTTTGGTAAACTTGAAATCAAACTATAAATCTTAAATGTATTTAATAAATAAAAATATACCTTAACTGTAATATTATTCGTATTAGAAAAATGTTTATATAATAACCTCTTAGCAAGTAGTTATGAATAAAAAGAAAGGGTAAAATTACACACAAAAGATATGCCTTTCACCCCATGACGAGTTGGAATTACAACGTCAGTCAAAGCGGAAAAATCCTGTTCCGAAAAATTAGCCAGCAAAATTCCGACAAATAATTAATTCGGAATAATCATACAAAACGATGCGAGCAGGATTCTCGGGCATTATTACCATTCATTTCAAATCAGCCGTGTGAAGGCCGGGAGGGTGAGGCCTCGTCGACCTGAATAAGCATACATTTTCCAATCAGGGCACGTATCATTTAACTCGCTATTAAATTCGACTTCTTCCCTTCGAAATATCATTATGTCAAATGTTAAGGCTCGTCGTGTGTAAGCAACCTATCAGACATTCAATTGAATTCCGAAATTAATTTGGTTCATCGAAATGTCAGTATGAGAGAAAAACATGACAAAAGTTTATTTACCGATTTCGTAATTTTCGAGTTCATGTCATTTAATATAACGGTGTCTGTGATGATGATACTTACGGCTATTAATTAAACTTAATTGTGTGTGAAAAACAAAATTAAGTTTTTTCAAAGGAGGCGGTTCCTCTGAAAAATTCATAAAAGATCTTTTCGACCTAAAATTTATTGTGTGGAGAGCATTCAGATGCCGAAAAAGGAAGCGTGAATGAATCGTTATATCTACTCAGAAATACGATTCATAAACGCCGTCATAACATTCATGCTTAAGACCTTTTACTGTAATTACTCGCGCGGAGCAAGCCGGAGGGATGAATTAGAGTATTAAATTTTTATGAAAGAAATCTTGGTTTTTTCTTACAAATCCACATTAATTTCATTGAAGCATGCCAGACATATAAATTAAAGCGTGTGATTCTTTATGTTTCACCGGTTTTAAACGCGGTCCTTTAGAATTTTACATTTCTTTGCGCAGATGAAGTGCTAGAACATGGCTATTTATGAGAGCAAATCTTTGTAAAAAAGCATGCATATGCTGCGTTTGGTATTTTTTACTCAGTTTTATCAGACTTGTTAAGGATTACATAATATTGTTGATGGATTAATAAATGTGATATTTTAAAGCGTAACATGTCAGCGCGGTGTCATCGTGGCACGCGCCACGCACCTGTCGCGACACCCGAACTCCCTCATTTATTAAATTAATAACTCCAACTGAACACCGTCGTTATCCGTTTAATTGAAGGGGCGATGAGTTACTCTTTTAACGCATTATCTAAACGTTTAACTCGAGCTTTATGAAG